GCCTAGACTGATGGCGTCTCTCAACCCTGCAACCCGTCTCCACCAACTCTTTCAAACCAGCCTGGAGCCAAATGCATGCAACGCAACACGCCAGCTGCGTGAAAGACCAGCAATAATGCGAAATACGCAAGTGGCGTGCAGCGAGTACTTCGGGGGGTGGCACCGTCTTTAAGTGGCTTCGAGTCTTGTGACACTTTCTTGAGAAGCCCTTTTCTCGTGTTTACCCCGTTTAAGTTAAGTTAAAGAACAAGGCGGCTACTTCCTTGTTCCCAGACGTGACTTCTTCTCCTGCGCACATCGATGACATGGGTTTATTTGGTCACCGCACATCGTGCTAATATCACCCACTTATGCAGGGCTTGTGTTTACACCGTAGGCGACACTATAAACAGACAGAAATGTGCCGATCCCTCTGTCCCATGTGTCCTGCAGGTCCTCCGCCTTGTCTGTCCGCAGAATTACGAAATTGAAATTTCCCCACCGCCGTGGTGTGGTAGAGCCCAGCGATTGCGTACTTAAGGCAACTGGCTTGCTAGCATTCGATGTAAATAGTACTGCGGAGGCTTCTGTTGCCATCGCTATTAATTTTCCACAAAGTAGTGTGACACGATGCGAATATGGGGACCCGACTATTTTGCCTAATCCCCTTGTGTTCTTATCCTTGCAGTTTCATGACTCTACACCCACAGAACTTTTGCTTTTAATCAGCAAATTTAATGAACCAAGTTCAATTTCAGTTCATCGTCATTGGTGGATAATTCACCAATTGAAGACATCTAAGAAGTTGGAAAGTAATGGCAGTCCGATGACGCTACATCAGTGCTAAATTGCGATGCGACATAACGTCTTAATCACGAATCGCGATTTAAGTCTTGTGTGAAGTCTTGGGTAGTCACAGGGGAACAAGATTCGCTTGCGACCCACCCATTCTGGTTGATTAACATTTATCCCTAATCCGGTTTAATTATTTGTGGAAATTAAATGTCTGAAATGGCTCCTTGAGGTAGTTCAAAATGCCCTAGATTAACAGTCTGAAAGGGATCCTTTAAATTGATTCTGATGCACGCTTTCTGTTAAAAAAAGCAATACACAATACTTTTTTGAATTTCCCGCCTAGCATCAGCTATCTTCTTGTCATTACTTGATATGCTCGTTATACAAGCAATATTGAGCGCATTTTACGTCTACAGTGCGCTAAAAGTGACATTTATCAAATATTAGAAGAAGGAAACCATATACTTGGTGTACACACACAAAAGACGCATGAATTTAAAATTGCAAAATTCAAACTAATCTAATGGTCAACTGGAAGATCAACAAGCAACCAAAGACAAGGATTGGCAGTGCGCACTACATAATCAGCGGCCCAGCCAAAATTGTGGACCCAGATGGGTGGCAGCTAGGGGACGGTTCTGGCTTGTGATATGTCAAGAAAGCGTGTCATGCTGCACCGGCCTTTTTCATGATAAGACTCGAGCAATCTACAACGTCTTCACACACCAAAATGTAATAAACAGCCGAATTAAGTGCTGTGTTCTGATGAAATTGGGTTCACAAACAGTGGGCATCTCATTTAACCAACTCCAACACCGTTGAAAACCTATTTAAAAGGCTCTTCGTAAGATTGTACTTAGCTAAGGAAGAGAGCGGAAACATCAAGTAAGTTTTGTGTAAACATATTGAACTTGACGCATCCATTACGATTCGGCGGGCACTTGGGTTTGTCCTGGCGTTTAATCCTTCTCACCAATTTAACCTAAATGAGCCACTTCCTGTTTTATTGACCAGGAAACTTTCGTCTGCATTGCCAATTTACTCGGCTTCCCGAATGTTCGAAGTAAGGTTCATCGACTAAGCCAGGCGTGAATAATTCCTAGGTAAAGTTCGTAATTTTTGTCGAGGATCCTTATCAATTCAACCATTAAAACTAGCCCCTTGAAATTGTGCCACTTTACAACCCCTGCGGTTTGTCCTACATGAAATAATTCTACTGACGTAAATATATGGCAATGATTCGATGATATGCTCAGACTGACCTTGGTCGAATTTCAAGATATGGAGATATTCGTTGAATTTCTCAAGAACTTCCTATTGGCACACCAGAGAACGTAAAACTAGAACACCCAGAACAACAATCACAATTGGAGGTAGCCACAGTGCCCTATGCTATGGGATAGGAAAACCCGTGTTTACTTGTCTATCAACAATGAATCAGAGTTAGCATTGCAAAAAAGAAGCAGACATCGTGTCCGAATTGAAATTGGGTCACAATACCTTTCTAGTTCAACAACTTAAGTCGGGGAAGGGCAAACAGTCTACGGACAGTTCTAAATTTTCAAGATGGAGTAGCTGCAGGTGTCATTGATAAACATAAAAATCCTTTAATCATGGAATAAATGTGTTATTGGTTTATGCATAACAAGACGTTGGAAATATCAAACTTCTCAAGAAAGAGGATAATGTCGACGTTTTTCAACACGTTTACTTCTTTTAGGTAGCAAACAAGGCTGGTCAATTACTAGAACCTCTAATTGAATCTTTTTTAAAGAAACCTGAATTAATTTTAATAAAAAAATATTACCTAAAAATTTAAACCCAAAATTTGTGCGTACTTGAAGAAAATTGACAGGTTCAAGCGACATTCAAACAGAAAAATGCTAATAAATTTGTAAATAAGGTAAATCCAAACTTATGGAAAATTCCACCGCATAATGTCAATAGTTTGTTTAGAAGCATAGAAACTCATTCATTCATTATTTTACTACGATATTAATTGCGAAAAGTTCCTATGCTAAAAATAATTATTTAAAAACTGCAAATGAAAGTGTCATAATTGAAGAAGTAAATTTTACCATACTAAGAAATTAGAAAAAAGGTTGGATTTTGTAATTTAAAATAAATAAATCACAGTTTGGAAAATACTGAAATCAGGATCGCTTCCATTATTTTATTTTATCATGGACCAAAGTGTATTTCGTTTAAAAAGGCAACTAAGCAGTAAATGCAGTAATTTAATGGAATTCCTACGAGGAACTTTTGTTTGAAGATTGTACTTATTTTAAAGCCTGTACACTGACGAGCGGTCTAAAATTAAACCCACGTATTACTCAATCTGCTTCCAATGCTGCAGCATACATTCTCCAACAAATTTCCAATAATTTTGAAAGTTTTGCAGACAGCTGATACGTAAACTGCGCCTTATCGAATAATAATAATAATAATAGTATTTACTAAACGCGCAATGCAAATTAAGAGGTGCTACCTCTTTGTCCCTTATTAAAGCAGTTCAAGCAACAGAACAACAATTCCAGCCACAAAAAACTTATAAAAAACCAATGATACATTGGCATTTATAATTCTTCAAAATATATGAGCGAAACCTCTTACTTACTATTTACTCTAATGCCCCACTTTGTGTTTTAACAGGTAAACTTACGTCTTTGACTGCATTAGTTCTCTTTTTAATTTTGTGGATTGTGTGCATGTTTTCTTTTTAATGCTTCGGGTTTTAATTTTGAGTTTTATTTTATTGGTGGGTATAATAATTTATAGCAATTTACATCAAAAAAATGAGTGCTTAATGACATACATGTTTGATGCACCTCACATGGAGGTTAGTCTCTTCTCTACTCATAATGCTTTAGACAATTCCTTTGAAAGGTGCCGCTTTGGACAAATGCCAAAGCTACGAGCTTACAATTTATTCTGAAAGGTATAGATGCACACTTTGATTTGAGTATTTAGTTATTTTTCTGATGACATGGTTGGATCAGTTAGGTAAATTGGATATAATTTTTAACCACAAACAGTCCTCTCAGGAAAATCCCCATTTTATTCATTCCGGGAAGCCAAGGAAATGCCTACCAGGTTCGGTCTTTAGCTTCAGTGGCTGCTCAGATGGCTCTTACAGATAATTTAAGCTACGCATTCGAATTCTTCTCTCTCAACTTTTTTGAGGTAATTTTTACATGTGTTTAACAACGTTACTAGGAGACATCTGCGCTTTCATCTGAACTAGTCGAACGCCAAACTGGTATTTCACAAATTTATCGTTATTGTATTTAAGAATGCGTCATCAATGTAATTCCGTTCATTTACCAAATATTTGCAAAATACGAAATTCCCATTACAATCGTGGGTCACTCGTTGGTAAGTTGTAAATCGATTTGTTCTCCTGGCTTAGTAGATATGTTTAACCTATCTGACATTTCACATAACCAGAAATTGCACACAATGGCTACTTCAGTTGTCGGCGCACCACTATTTTATTCCATAGCTTTAAAATTCACAGATGAAATAATATTTAGAAATTTTTGTTTTTTAGTTTTCGAATGTTATGCGTTATATATTTTGCATAACAAGTCTTCGAATTTCTACAGAATAAAGTGATTTAGGCTCTCTGTTGTTTCTAATATCATATTACCACTGCTTGTGTTTATTATTTTTATTATTTTCATTATTACGATTAAGAACTCAATGCGTTTTAGGGTGGTGTTATCGCCCACTATGCTCTGGCAAAGAATGCCTTTGATCCATCGATGGTCAATTCAGTTATAACACTGTCCTCTCCGCTCAAGTCTCCAGGTAAGTCATCCTGATGACAGTAACAGTTACAAACATCTTCGTCTTTTCCTCCTCATTTTGTGCCACTTTAAGTTTTATGGCTAAGTAATCGGTTGATGGAGGTGCATGAACGTATTCGCAAATTCTGGGGCGATGTGGCAGTTCATCCTCGTTTTGACCATCTTGTATTTGTGTCAATCACCGGAGGAGTTTTCGATTACCTGGTGAGCCCCAACTTTGATCTCCAAGCTCCACTTGAATTATCAAAAGCAAAGCTTTCTATTATGCAATATAATGAAATGGAAAATTGAATAATGGAGTCTCAAAAAACTCGTAACATGTAGTTTAATGGAAAAGGTAAAATATAGGTCATTCTTTACTTGAAATCTCAGGGCGTTGCACTACTGTTAATGACACAATTAAGTAAAAAAACTGATAATCAAACATCACAAAACAACGACTAATGTTTTGTTCACTCGAGGTGTTTTTGAGCTAATTGTACTGAATGACAAGTGACAAAATCGAATGTATCGTATCTCACTAGTAAACAAAACCAACGCCGATCAAATTTATTTGAAAATAAAAGTGGCGCTGGTAACACCCGCAGTAGTGTTTTTTGTTTGCAATATAAGTGTGCACTCTGTAATTAGGCCACATCCTAGCTGTAAGAAAGCATTATATCGGTTAATTGGGTCCTTAGAACGTCATAAAGGTAGCTTTAAATTGTCGGAATACCCTTGGATTTCATTAAGCCTTTTAAACCTGCCTAGGTCTGGGATGGACTGGCTGACATCGACTTGCCTCCCGATCGTGCCATTCATTTGTCCACGGCATCAATTAATCAAGTCTGGCTGTCGTGCGATCATCTCTGCATCCTGTGGTAAGATTACCTTGTACAATGCTAAAGTTAACCACATAACTAAGTTACTGTTTCGTCTGTTTGTTCAAGTATTTTCCAGGCAATCGGTTAGTAGTTGTGCCCTTTTGGGTGAATCGCCAAGCCCATAAAATCATTTAGCTTTACATTGTAATCTGCTAAAGTCGAACCTGTCTGATGTTATCTTGAACTTCACTCAGTAACTGTCACCCCCCGTGGCGGGAATCTAGCTTGAAGTGGTCTCGGATAAGACGACAGATCAAGCGCCCCTTGGTACTGGTAGAAATCTGTGTTGTCTGCAAATCAACAATTCGTGCCGCGTTTTTTGTCTGCTGCAAAACCACTCCTTTCGTATCATTCAGCTGTCATGGAACTCCCATTTTAACAGGCTCGGGGCTTCGACTTTTGTCTTGACAATCCCACTGGTGGTCGATGCCTGTTGGGTCATCGTTTTACTGTTTGTATTTATGTAGTCGTGTAATCGATAGAGAGGTTATTCAGGTCAAGATCGAATGGTCAACCGAGAATGTCAACCCCACCGCCGAAATTCAGATCTACCCCACCAAGTGTGGAGCTGTTTGCTGCAAAGTGACCGTGAATGCTTTCCAATGCTGCTGTCTGTCCCATTAACCATGCGATTTTAATTGCAAAAGCCTTACTCGTGTAAAATCGCGTGGTTTAGGTTCCATGTCGTCAATGTGGTTTGTTTAACTTGGCGTGTGTCCGCAGCAGTATAACGAACGACAGATTAGGACAACAGCCAAATGTTGCACTCCTTCAGCACCACGAAATGGTTGAATTGAGTTGCGCGCTTTACCTTTTTAAATCGTCTCCCCATTGGTAGCTCACTTGCCCACTTTTGCGCGCGCCTATTCCGCAATGCTTAATGGGTAATTAAAGGGCTTTATAAGTGCACTTTCCCACTTACCAAATCCCCGCAGTTGCTTCCTTCACGCATAAGTGGAACTTGGACAATCTAAGGGGAGTGTGTGTACCGTGTTTTCAAATCCGCAAACGATTTAGTGGTGTATAAAATCACCGAGATTTGGTGTGTGTGACTTGCGATCAACAATCTGTCCAACCCCCCAAAATTGTTGTATTTAAACGCCTAAGCGATTTTTAATCACATCTATCCTAGCTGCGCCATTGCTGTGTGTTATTTCAGGTGCAAACAACTGGTTCTTCGTCTCAATCGCGCCCTTTTTGCCCAGGTCAACGCAACGACATCAAAGGTACCTCCCACATTGCCCCTAACGAGGGTCTGTCCGGTGCTTCCTCCACCTCCTCCTTCTTAAATGTGACAGTCGACCAGCAGTGCGACTATTTTCTAGCTCGTGAAGTGTGTGTGTGTGTGTGTCGGTTGAAGTTAGCTCTCCCCAGCTACGTTAGCTGTAGTCGTTCCTTGTGAACATCTGAAACTGGGGTATTGGGCGACAAATCACCAAGAATTGCATGGTTTCCTTTCGCCTCGTTTGTTTTACAGCCACTGGAGTCTCGTGAAGCCCGAATGTCGGTTTTCAAATCCAACTTGCTGTCGCATCCGGTTCCATTAGGACTAACCAACCGCTGCCGCCACCACCAACGCCGTCTGGATGCTCTCGAAGTTGTAGATCGGGCGTCTGGTCCCCGCAACACTCAGTGTCTCTGGGTTAACAGAGCTGGCGACCAAACTGGCGTCTACACCGTACCGAAGGTATCTCTTAACCAAATTTGAAGGCAATAGCTTTACCAGTTTGTCCAGAGGTCCTGTTGTGGGCATTGTGCCTTATAGTGAAAACAGCAGATGTAATTTGGATTGTCATCTGTGACATCCATCCCCCGCTACTAGTTATGCCGATGTCATTTTAAGTTCTTAGATAGGACTACCACATATCGAATTGCGAAGGTCAAGATGAGAGTGAAAGTTTGGTGTGATCAAAAGACATTGCTTAAATTACGTGCCCAACAAACTAGACTGGGGTTCAAATGGCAATGGGCTGGTGTTTAACTGGTTGTTGAATTGTGTTTAAAATCACTCAACCGAATTAAGCATATTATTCCGATAAGTTACTATTTATTGTGGAGTGGAGTACGATAGTTCCCTGATGCTAACCTGTGACGTTTGGCCAGTACGATTTCTTGTGTGTCGTTTGCGTCGATTACGCAAAGCTAGTGCGACTTTCTAGGTTTAACTTGAATCGACCTGGTTGAATGCAGTGAATGCTTCGAAGATGTCATTATGAAGGGGCCCATTTCAATAAATCGACTCTCTGTTTTTGTGTTGGAGTGGTCTGAGCCGATGCATTTAAAACAGGCACCCTGGGACTTGACAACATGTACGCCACAAACGGTGTCCGCTAGGAATTGCCAGCATCCATCGACCCGCGGTGTGTCGTTTTCTGTCACGATGGCGCACAATCGAATGCCTTAGTGAAGGCTTCCAGAGCACGTATTTCCTTTTCGTCTGTCCGAATGCCACCTGACTTTTCTAGCCATTAGTGTGAGTTAATTTAGAACAGGTTAGCGTCGAAGTCGTTTGGGCTTTTTGTGAGCGATCGGTATATAAAGACCGACAGCCAGGCAACTGCGCCACCATTCACACCCCAAGAGTTCACTACAGGCCCGTTCGCGCACTTCAAACAGAGAAGAGAACTGCCTGATTCACGTGGAAACTAGTAGGGCCGCGCAGACACTTCCTCTGTATTTCGGCACATGTTGGAAATGAAGCGCGTGTTAATGTATAAAGGCAACCTTAATTGCATCATCTTTGTCTTAGCGTCGTTTAAAACAACACCAAAACACGTTGCGTACTTTCTTCACGCATAACTTGGTTAATATCGGGTATTTTAGAAGCCCCAGTTTAGTTACCAGTAGTTTATTGGCTCATTCAAGCTAAAGCAAAGTTGGTCTTTGACACTAGGGTCTCCTCCACACGGTCACATCCGTGATTGGCACTTGTGTGCTCGGCTGTCTTAATTGAATTTGGCCCCTTTGGAAATTCGTTTCTACCCCGAATCGACGCCCATTCAATCGGTATTGGTGAATTCGATTCGAAGCGGCCGGCAATGTGGAAATTGAATGTGCGTATTTGCCCCGCGTTTTGTGTGTTGACAATGGAGGGTAAAATTGTGCCAATTTTTTAAAATAAAATTCCCAACAATGAGATGTTGATCGTCGATGGGACGAGTTGGATATTTGGCTTCTCACGGGTCGTGAACTTGAGATGCTTTTGCGCCAGGCACTTGCACCACATCTTACGAGCTACCGTCATCCGTTAACAACTGTGCTTTCGTTTACTTGAGATCGTTTTCATGTTGTTGACGTTGGTATTGCTTGTCAAAAATCAGGCGATAATATGTTCCAGTTTCTCGCAATTTCGAGGTCGTTTGGGGCAACACATGGTAATTAACAGCCTGCGTGTGTGTGTGTGTGTGCCTAGATGGGTGGGTTTGTTTTGTTGCGAAAACGCGTGAATGGCGTGTTTTCAGTCATGTGCCACAGCAGAGCGTGCGTGGGACGATTCGCGCGGCTCGCGGTGGCCACACCAATCCACAGTCTTCTTACAGCGCAGTCTTGTCACCGTCCCGGTGAATCAGACAACTCCCCTGTCTGTGTGAACTAGCCTGTAGTGAACTTTTGGGGTGTGAACGGTGGTACAGGCCGACTTTTTATCCCGAAGCCACTTGCATATGATTAGTCCAAACAGCTGTTGTCTCGTCCCCGCTTTTGTCGAGTCATTGCACACAGCCAATTAGGCAGCGCCAGTAAACACTATGTGTGGTCCAGCTGGAGAATCCTTCATTATTCCAATCAACCAACCACGTGGAAATTTTTCTTCCTCAGTTTTAAATACGTTTCATTCGTTACAGCCTGCTTTACCTATCTCCTCCATCCCAATCTTATTCTGTATGTACCTTCGTGACCACGTCTCTCATGTCTCATGTTCCATTCTGGAGTTTGTTCTCCGAAATCTAAAATTCCCACGAGGAGTCTCATGGATAGATTCGCATGCCATTACTTTTTTTCATAATCAGTAATATTATGCAAAATCTCCATGTCAGACACCCATGTCGCTCTCCGTGCACCCGGACAATGGCTTTGGAAGCTACGCGGCTGATCCAGCGCCTCGTAGGTGACTTCGTGGGATAGGCCAGGAATTACAACAGAGGGACGCAGCCTTGTATTTACGACGCGTGCATGCTAGGAGTTGTGTTTACTTCGTCAGGTGTTATGCGGCCAATTCGGTTCATTGTCGCCGAGTTACGACTAAGACCTGTTGCTGTGTTTACGTGTGGTTAGACCAAAGTCTAATCACGGGGCTCGGGACGTGTGTGTGTGTGTGTCAGTAATGCAAAATTCTCCGTCAATCTAGGGCCGACTGAACGCACTTCTGTACAAGCGCGATTTGCATAACCCACTGCGTGAACGACCACTTCTCAAACACCTAGTCACTTTGCGTAGACCACCTTCTTAATCGGAAAGCACCCGCCTTGTGCGCGACATGACATTAGCGTCGTGTCGTGATTTAGCGCGACAACTTACCTTCGCGCCTTATCATCCCAGTCACAAGTCACTTGGACTTAACTTCATTGGCTGATTCAGACGCATAAAACGCCCGTTATTGGTAGCATCATAGTGGGGTAGGCCAGAGCCTGGTTTGTTCGCCATCCCAAGTTCACTTTGAAGTGCTTAAAAGTCCCATTTGTCTAGGCAACTAACTGTGTGTACTTGAAAATCGGACCGCTGACGGGCAATTCGGAAGAGCGCGTCCTCCTTTTACCCACTAACGTAAGCCAAATTCCTTTATCTCTGACCCTCACCCCTAATCTCAAATCCTCAACACCCAAATTTCCTCCCCCTAGATTGTCATCAACGAGATCTTCCTCTGCGACAAATCGATCAATTCGGTGCCGTGGTAAGTCAGGGGGTTGACGTGTTTCACCGGGGAGGAGAGGTGTGAAATTGTCACTGTGGCCAGGGTTACGACCAATCGCAGCCCTCACCTCTGTCCAGTTTCAGCACCACTGGCACCGACCTCAAACAATGCATTGGCCGTTGCTATCGGTTGCGTGATACTTCTTGTGTGTGTGTGTGCAGGGGCTGTGTGGGTGCTTACGTAAAATGTGTTTTCGGCATCTTCATTCACATGTTAACGTCCCCCGCAAAGAATGGTAAGAAAATCGCCTTTTGCTTCGTAACCTTGAAGAAGGAAATGTCGACTGCTATTCGCTCCTTCGATCGCCTCGTGTGGAGGCGTTGGCGGAGCGTGTAGTATGGCAAAACGAATTCACCTGTCAGTGGTAAACAGCCTCGAAAATGCTCAATTTGCAGCAAGAAAAAAGCAGAGATCAGGGGCGCGAGGATGAGCACCGGTTACCCAGATAAATGGGGAGTGGTTTTTTAGCATTTCACACCAGAATTAATTCAGGCACGGACTGTGCAGAAAAGGAAATTGTGTGATGTGCAGCGGCTAACAGGCCAAATTTATCTTGTTTATTAATAAACCATGGCGACCTGTCTCTGTCACATTATCCTCATTTAAACTTTTCTAAACAGGGTTTGTAAATAACAGTAACGGCTAAGGCCCTAGTGGACAGACATACCGGAAAGGGGGAACGTTAAATAAGATCCGGAACGCAAGCGAGTTCACGTGTTATCTGCTGAGGGACGAAATGAACGGTGCTCTAACGGAAGTCAGTATAGTAAAACAAGAGTTATGCGGACTAACATGACAAATGCTGAACTCCTCAGGGGAATGGCGAATCGGCAAATAGTTATAGGAGGGAATCGAGCTAGGGGAAGTATTAATCTGAGCAAGATAATTTTTGATAAGCTGAGCAAGTTCTTTCCAACGTATCCTTTTGCACCTCCACTTGCTGATCTTGTACCAAACAGTCCCATGAACCTCGATTTTTCTGCCTGACTCGTGCGGGTGGGGTAGCAACATTTGGCAAAGGTAACAACAAATGTTGCAATTTCGTTCTTGAGGTCTTTTCAGAATTTGCGGCACTTTGAAATGTCCATTCAGTTCTTCTTCTTCTTCTGAGGAAGGTGTCAACAGGGCTTGTGTTCTTGTCGGCAATTTTGCAAAATCATTGTTTTAACGTCCTTGTTCTACTTAATCCGACGTAGAGATCAATTTACTCAAGAGCAACATCACAAGTCGGCATACAGATTTTACAAAACTATAAGGGTGGGTTTATGCATCTTATCCTAAACGACAGGCCCAAATTAGCGATAATAAATGGACAAAACAAGTGCAAAAGAGCAGCACATCAAAGTTGTGTCACTAGATAGGTCATTTAACTAAAATTTCTCCTTAATACTTGAGGCACTTGAGCTTCACATTGAACTAGTTTTTGTTCGATTGCGAATCTGTCGATTTTCCCAGTCGCGACTTGCTTTCAGACACCCATCCAGAAAGGATTCAGTGTCACCGAACAGCTCGGCTTTGGCTATTTGGCTCGAATGCCACCAATAGTATTCATGCTAGCGTTCCGTGAAGTGCGTTTAGTCACCGTGGATCACCCGTTTATGATTGCTTACACCTGTCAGCGCTTTGGGAGTCATTCCAACGGCCATCTGGTTCCTGGCCATCCACGGGACCACGCGGGGATTGGTTGGCCCGGAGTGGTTGTATTGGTTAACTTAAACTCGGTGTTGTGGACACCAGCTCTTTTCCCAAGTATTCACCTCATAACCACTGCATTTCGCCTCTACTCCGTGGCTCCTGTGTCATGAGAACTGGTCGCCGTCGTGTTGAACCTTTCTCACAGGGCTTCGGTGAAGCCGTGAATGTTTGCTTGGCCTTCGGTACACACACACAGGCACGCACGCACGCACCTGATTTTCGACATTACACATAGGCGGTAGACCCTAGGTTTAATTGCATTTACGGCCAGCGCTGGCAGCCGAAGGTGCAGGCGCCTGTCTATTTTCGTGTGAGGTGACATGAGCTAGGTACGCAATCGCTCAGAGCTCTACCACACCACGGCGGTGGGGAATTTTCAATTTCGTAATTCTGCGGACAGACAAGGCGGGGGACCTGCAGGACACATGGGGCAGAGAGATCGGCACATTTCTCTCTGTTTATAGTGTCGCCTACAGTGTGAACACAAGCCCTGCATAAGTGGGTGATATTAGCACGATGTGCGGTGACCAAATAAACCCATGTCATCGACGTGCGCAGGAGAAGAAGTCACGTCTGGGAACAAGGAAGTAGCCGCCTTGTTCTTTAACTTAACTTAAACGGGGTAAACAC